GTGTAACTTTTACTAGAGAAATGAATAAGATTTGAAATAAGATTTGAATGTGACTTTGACATGTATATTCCAGGCTATTAGATCAAATCGAATTCTCAGAACGGAGATAGACACTGTGATTCGGTAGAGTTTTTTTTCAGTCCATCCTGCCATTCCTGGTCAAATTCTATTTATACATCTACAAAGATGCAAATAGCTTGGCTGTTGTACTCATTTATTACCTGAGAAGTAAAAGATGATGCTTATATTAATGCATTTTGTGTAGAGTAATCAGTTCTAAATCCAACTTGGAAGTTTGGGATGATGTTGTATCTGTTTCTAGGTGTTCTACGAGTATTTTTTGTAAGATCATCTCGTAGAGATCCGTGATCTCGTATTTGAAAATCCGTGAAAAGTTTACAAGATGTTACGTGTGGTCTGTACTTTTGTATGGATGTGAAACTTGGACTTTAAACGCCGATATCATGAATAAAATCGAGGCGTTTGAGATGTGGTTGTATGGAAGGATACTAAAAATTTCATGGACTAGCAGAACCAGAAACGAAGAAGTTCTTCGAAGAATGGGACATCAACGAACTCTATTAAATATTATTAAGAGGCGTAAACTAAAATATCTTGGACATATAATCAGAGGAACAAGAAAAGAGTTCCTTCAGCTAATTCTCAACGGTAAATCAAAGGAAAGAAATGGATAGGACGGAAGAAACTCTCTTGGTTGAGGAATTTGGCGGCAGTGGACAGGTTTGACAGCGGACCAATTGCTACACGTAGCGCAAGACCGAGATCAGTATAATATTATTATAAGCATGGTAGTCGCCGACGTTCCGTAGGGATATGGCACTCTAAGAAGAAGAAGATCTCGTAGATCTTGCCTACAGTGTTTAGCAGTGAAATTGGTTTATAGGATTTAGCACTCGTTATTGGCTTCCCTGGTTTAGGGATCATGATTTTGCTGAATACCTTTCAAGAAGTAGGAAAGTATTCCACCTGAATTTGGCATTGATAGTTTCGGCCAGCAGCGGAAATATGGTTTATCAAAATTGTTTAAGGCATCGTGTATGTAAGCCATCTAGACCAGAACTGTATTTTTGCCTAGCCTACATAGTCTCCCGAGGGTTTCCTTGTTTATTAGGGTCCTTAACCTCATAATAGTTGGGCCTTCTTTGAGGAACTGTATTTTTCAGAAGATAGTCAATATTACACTTGGTTACTATACTAAAGCCATATCTAAAATTGCAAGTGTTATTTATAACGAATGCTACACCGGTTTAATACCAACACCAAGAAATTTAATATAGCAATTAACATAAATGCTTATTAAGATCTAAGAAACCAGTAAGGTGCAAACTTGAGATAAAAATAAAATCATAAAACAGGTATTAAAACATAAATATCTAGAAATAAACTTATTGAGCGACAATAACATTGAAGAGAAAGTAACGAAACAATTCGCAAAAAAAGAGAGCTGCATTATACCTATACCAGGATAGAACATAGAGAAATAGGCACTTAAAATACCCCGAAATAAAAGACAAACTAGCAAAACAGGCACAAGTCGTCCTTAAAAAAGATGGAATGATTATTCCCAATAGGATAGGAGGTTACGTCGAAAAAACAGTCATTTGCCTATATCATAGTAAAAAACAACGACATTTATTTTACTTAGTACGGTACGGATAGTGGTATAGAACTTTGTTTTTCCATCTGTTTCTAGAACTCCAGTACATAATATTATACTACAATTATAATGTTTACTTTTTGCGAACTACACACCGCTGTACTAAAAGTAAATCCTGCTGCCACTTGCTAGTTTTGGCCTACTCTAGTTATTTTATTTTATTTTCACAGTATCCGTAATATCGTAAAGTAGAAGATCAGCACAGTGCCCCCTGGGTAAAATCTATCTAGAGTCTTGGAGAATTTAGACTTTTCAGATGGCATCGCCTTTTAAGTTACGCTTTTTCAAGTTGCCACCCAGACGTCTCTACACGTGGAAATCTCCAGCAGATGGAATAGAAGGACGCATCACAAGATGCAAGATGCAAGACGCATCAAATCGATTACATAATGATCAACAAAAGATACAAAAACGCAGTAAAAGCATGCAAGACATACCCCGGAGCTGACATCCCCACCGACCACAATCTTCTTCTTGCAACCATTAGGATAGAATTTAAAAGAACAAAAAGAAATAAGCAAATAATAGCTATTAACCCAGATAAGCTTAAAGAAGAATCCACTAGTAATAAAATACAGGAAGAAATACATAGACACTTGAGTAACAGAACAGTACAATCGACACAAACTCCCGAGGAAGACTGGCACTATATTGAGAAAACACTTACAAGAGTAACAGAAGACTACCTCAAACAAGATACACGAAAAAAAAACAAACCATGGATGACAGAAGAAATTCTAAACATTATGGACGAAAGAAGAAAATACAGAGGTAAAAATGAAAGAACATAAAAGCAAATACACAAGAATATCAGAATAAAGATCCAACAAGCCAGTTAGAATTGAATTGAAGAGTTGGAACAAAGACATGATACTTTCAATCTACATAAAAAAGTAAAAGAAGCCGCTGGAATATTTAAACAAACTTCTACGTCTTTTATCGAAGATAAACATGGGAACCCGCTACTGAACATAGAAGATCAAATAGGTAGATGGAGAGAATACGTGGAAGAGATGTTTCAAGACCGAGAGAGGACGAACATATACATGCAGGAGGCATCGACTGGACCTTATATCACAAAGCAAGAAATTATCAAAGCGGTAAATCAGATAACGAACGGAAAATCTGTTGGGGAAGATAATATCCCAATTAGAATAATAAAGATATTACTAGACGAACACATTTAAGTAATAGAAGATATATTTAACAAAATATACGAAACAGGCATAATACCAAATGATTGGCTAACATCGGTGTTTATACCACTACCAAAGAAGAAAAACTCCAAATCATATATTGAAACTTTTCCTACGAGTAACACACAATAGAGTATACAATAAACTAGACGAACACACTGGTCAAACTCAAGTTGGTTTTAAGAATGGGTTCGGAACAAGAGAAGCACTTTTTTCAATACGTGTGCTAGTTGAAAGATGTAGAGATGTCGATTCTGATGTATACTTGTGTTTTTATAGACTTTCAGAAGGCGTTTGACCTGGTGAAACATGATAAAACTAATAGATATTTTAAGGTCATGTAATATCGACGATAAAGACTTAAGGATCATTTCAAACCTCTACCAAGAACAAAACGCTAAAATCAGAGGAAAAAGCGAAACATCTGGAAAAATCAATATCGAGAAGGGAGTAAGACAGGGATGTGTCCTATCACCTTTGCTGTTCAATGTTTACTCTGAGAAGATATTTCAGAGCTTTGGAAGGCACCTCGGATGGTATAATTATAAACGGGCAATGTATAAATAACCTGCGATATGCTTATGACACTGTCATACTGGCAAAAAATACTGAAGACCTGCAACGCTTAATAAACCGAGTAACGACAGCCTGTAGAGAATTTGGTCTGAAATTAAATACAAAGAAGACAAAAACGATGGTCATCAGCAAGCACCAAAACAGAAGGGTGAAGGTCAATGTCGACGGAACAGATCTGGATAGAGTAACAAGAACAACGTACCTTGGAAGTAATCTTGATGAAACTTGGGACCACTCACTAGAGATAAGAATACGCCTGAAAAAGGCACGTACAATGTTTTACAAAATGCAAAAAGTTCTATCATCCGCCAGCTGGGCATCTCATTGAGAACTAGAATACTTAAGTGCTATGGTTTCTCCACCCTGCTCTATGGTGTTGAAGCCTGGACAATGACAGAAGCAACACAAAAAAGAATCCAAGCATTCGAACTCTGGTGTTACCGTAAAATGCTCAGAATATCCTACATGAGCCATACGACAAATGCGGAAGTCTTGCGTAGGATGAATAAGGAAAGAGAGCTTATGCTTATAATAAAAGAACGGAAAACACAATATTTTGGTCACATCATAAGAAATCAAAAGTATGAACTGCTCCAACTTATAATTGAAGGCAAAGTCAATAGCAAAAGTAGACCAGGAAGAAGACGCAACTCTGGCTTAAAAACCTACGGTAATGGACGAACATGACTTCCATAGAACTATTCAAGGCTGCTACAAATAAGATTAAATGGGCAAATGTAATGGCCAACGTCCTTAAGGATAAGGCACCGTAAGAAGAAGAAGATCGCCTTTTAGCAGAAGGATTTACTAACATTATAGTTAAATTCTTATTCTTCTTTTTTTATGTATGTATGACTCTGTCTGTTTTTCAGTGTGCATCCAGTAAGTTGCAGTTCCATTGTTTTCGTAGTTCTACTACTAATCGTCTACCTATTGGAGAATTGTCTTTTGCCATCTTTACTACTCTATTTGTTGTAATTTGGCTTATTGTGTGGTTATTTAAAACGACTCTTTTATTTCTTACCCGTTTTTGAAATTAAATACATAAAATCGAACTGGTGAAGCTGCAGATCAGGATTAGTACTCCTAATATTAAACGTAGCAAATAGAAAACAACCCTTAGATGTTGAAAATGAAATTTTAAAAGCAGTTTACTCTGGTGTCTGTAGAAACCGTTGAAATAGAGCATGATAAAGCCTATATCTCGGTCGCCCCCTTTTTTTAAAAAGACAAATTAATTTTAGCCGCTGTTAAAACTTCTTTTATGCAGAATTTTATTACGGCGCTTTTCCATTTTTATGAATATACTCACTTCAACTGCTTTAAACGACTTCCTATATTCAACTGCTACCTGAAATGAATGAGTTGCAATTTTTTTATGGCATCCAATAACACTTATTTCAGCGTAGGGGTAAATATTACGCAAATAGTATTAAGATAGCTGATAAAAAAATAAAAACAATTCTATAATGAGTACTTTTCATGTACTTAACTATCTTTTTTGGGATATTCACCCTCATTAATTTGTGTGTTTTCTTTAAATATTTTAGGCACTTATAGGTTTTGGACCAGAAGGGGATAAACAATGGTTATGTGGTGGTTCGTTGATAAGTTATAATTTTGTCTTAACTGCAGCCCATTGTCTTCAATCAACTGATTAGTAAGTTACTTCGTAATTTTTGAAGTCGTAAATTAAATCTGTCATAAAAATTGTAAACATAGATAAGTATTTAAAAACATACTTTGTTATGTTCCTGAAATTATTCGTAACCACAGTTTTCTTTATATTTGCTTTTCAAGATAAACAGCAGATGAATATAGAGTAGATAAATACTGATTCATTTATCACCACAAAAACTCGCCTACAAATTACCATTTTTCTCGCTAATTGGTGTAGACAAAGAAAACTCTATAATAGTAGAAATTTCTATTATAGTGAAATTTATTATTTAAATAGTATTAAGATTTGTTTTGAGAATCTGCCTAAATATTAACAGAGGCTATTTTTCAAAAGCCATTGTTCTTAGAATTTAAAACGTAAACAACCGACGTCACAGATCACGGGAATTATTATGCATCGGAAACAGGTTAGATCTAACAAACCGCCAGTACCTTGTCCTTTTTTCGGGCGTTCACAACGTTGTCGTTTCCGCTAATATTCGATTTGAGAGTCGAGAAGTGCCTTTCACCGTTGGGGGTTGTACAAATGTTGCTAGTTATCTCGAAATGAGAATCATGGTTTTTTATCGATGAAATATGTTCGCAATTAGTTGAGAATAGTAATAGTTCATCTATGGTAACTCGTACCAGTTACCATACATTATAATTTGAAGTATTTGTAATAGTGTAAAAATTAGCTAAGAGTGCCGTATTCATACAAGAATAAATTCTAGTGTTTATAATTGCTACAACCTGTGGTTCAACAACGAAAGAAGACCTGTGATTCCAGTTTTAACATGGCCCAGGATAGGACTTGGTAGATATAAAAACATTTGACATTTTATTTGAATTCTGAACTATTTCGTCATGGTATATAGTGTTTACTGACTTCATATTGCGGTACAAAATTGTGCTAAATTAATATTTGTATAAGGTCCATGCTTTCCCAGACAGCACAAGTACGTCCCATGGACGTCCGAAGGATGTACCTCGTTAAATGTCCGGACATCCCACGGACATCCGTTTACATAATTTGGACGTCCCCGGGACGTCCAATAAGACCGAAATGTTACCAAAAAGTACGTCCCCTGGACGTCCTAGGGATGTTCATGGGGACGTACATAGTACAAATACAGAACTTAATACGGACTTATATAGGACCTAAAAAGGATGTATTGGGGACATCCATTGTACGTCCACATGGACTAATACAGGACCTAAATGAGGATGTATACAGGACCTAAAGGGAACTTACAAAAAACTAATAAAATGAAAAGCAAAAATAAATGGGATTTTTATTGTGTACTTATATTAACATATTATGTATTTAAATTTATAGTATTTTTTAAAGCCCATTACTAGTACTTACTTTACAAATGTAGCAACTCACACCACAACCACAAAAATTACCTATAAAATTCTTATATACCTACTTAATGTCTATAATAATAAATTACCAAACTATAAACTAGTATCGAAATGCAATAAACTAACTCTAATTACAACCACAACCACAAGTCCACAATGATTATAATTCGAGAAATAAAAGATTCCGAAAATGCTAGCGAAAGCTAAGCGTCGTTAAAACATAACCACATTCTTCTTTCATCTTCTAATTTTTATATTTCAGTTCCACTACACAACAAAATTTTAGAGATGTCTGTTTTCGTATAAATTAATGGTATTTAAAACTAAATATAACTTTTTAAAATAAAGTTTAGTAGGAAGATATTATATTTTGTAAAAAAATATGCTTAAGTAAAAAAATGACACAGTTAACATCTAGAAAACATCCCTAATACATCCCTAATGGGACGTCCCTCGGACGACCTTATGGGACGTACCTGGTATGTCCGACTAGAAATATCCCTTGGACGTCCAAAAGAAGTCCCGGGACGTTTGGACCTTAAAATGACATAAAATGGACGTCCCAGGGATGTCCTGTGCTGTCTGGGTTTAGTATTAGCGTTTATTCAGAAATAAAATCTGTATTTACTATACTCAACTTTTTATTCTAATTTATATTAAAAAAGGATTAGACAAACTTACCACCCCGGGACGGGGTGTGATTAAAATCAAGCGTTGGTGAAATTAATACAGTCCATTAGGGGTCATTCGGACGCCTCTTAGTTCATGATAATGAGGCATATAGCCCTCATTAGTCAAGATTCTTATTTTAATTATATAATCTTAAAAGATTATATTAAAAAAGTTTCCTTGCGAATTCTTGTTAAAAATGCCCTTTTTTAATAACTTTAAAGGGTGCTGAACAACAATTTTGGGCAGAAAATCTTTAAACAAATTGCAAAAACCTTTTTGACCTGGAAAATTTTTGGTGTCATATAAAACAAAACAACAGTCTCTTGTCATTTTTTTTACAGTTAAGCGATATAACATCTAAAAAATGCAAAAATATGAATTTTCAAGGCTTGAAAACTCATGTAAATTATGAGATGCCAAGTACTTAACTTACTTAAGTAGTTTAAACTTGAAGTTTAAACATTCACTTTCAAAGTTTTTTAACCCTACGTTAGTCGTTAGGAAAAACTGAGCATCAAGAGTCGCTAAGGTGCTTGAGACCGACAATTAAAAAATAATAGTAATTACTATAAAATTTATACCAATATTTTATTAAAAAACAACATATACAAAATGAAAAACACTAGTATAACAATATATTGTTATTTTTGTAATATAAAATTAAATTTAAAAAAAAAAGTTCTTCAAATCTTTAAAATGGAAAATCATTTCAAAATTTATAGTTAAGAGGAATATATTATATTAACTTAAAGAAATAACTCAGGTTTTTAACAAAAATAATAAAGTAAGCATTTGACTTGATTTAGTAAGTAAAACATTTTATGTTGTAGCGTCATTCCGGCAAACCTGACATATTATAACATGAATATGTTCAAGGCACATGAATTTTTGACATTTTATATTACATTCATAATACGACATTTATATCTGTGATGCCGCAAATTTCGCGAATTCGGCATTTAAGGCTAACTGACAGATTTGTAGTAGCAACTAGACTTTTTAAATAGGGATATACATATAAGCTCATTTGCAAGGTTTCTTAGAAAATCACGTTGTTATACGTTTTCTCATTCGTGTCCTTGGCCTTGAAGATATCCATTGAATTAATGACAGTCAATATGGTATAAAATAGAACCATTGGCCAACGCTTTGTGCTTCTTGAACAGTTGTAGTTAGCGCTGAGCTGGTCTACCATGTCGACTTCTATTTTTGTCGAATTGTATAGGGCCATAATTTCTGGTTTATTTTGATTACCCCTACTATAATAAATTGCATCATTATAATGTAGTGAGGATACAAGCAATACATTTTAGTTTTTTTTTGGAATATGAGAAACTAGTGTAATATGTTGATTAAAATCGAACATACTTGATTTTATAGGATGCTTTGGTTTTGTGAATTCAAACAGCAATTATTTTCTTTGATTCTTCCAAATGGTTTATACTTCTGTAATTTCCTTTTGGTATAACTTGTTCACCAACTCGTTACTTGTAAACCAGTAACCAGTTGTTAGATTCCGGCCTGAATCAAAAATAGGTTCACATAGCCCTTGAACAACTAGGTCTGTTACTAACTTGAAAACGTCCTTTGGTTGTTGGCCTACATATACCTCTAAATTAGCCGAATAAAACATTTTAGCATCAAAGAGTGCAAAAATTGTTATGTGGTACTTCTTCGGTTTTGATGGGATATACTCACGAAATCGACACTTACCCCTATATCCTGGTAACATCTCATCAATAGTGACATATTCGAAAAGACTGTATACACTTCTAAAATAAGTTACAAAAATGTCGAAAAAACTTCGTATAGCAGCCAACTTGTCTTCTTTAGTCGGTTTTCACGAGTTGCAAAGTTATTTCGTATTGAGTCTATATATTTGTTCGTACTTTCCATAATCATTTCTAACATGGCGTTATTCACAAAATATTTCCAAATATCACTGGGAGTCTTCAAGTCACATGTAGGTAATTTCGACATCGGCAAACGTACTACGTAATTTTCGTACCTTATTCTAAAATTTCTCGGTAAGTTCTCTTTTTCCACCTGGTAAGTCCATCTTTTCCAATAAACGCGAAGGTATTACTTCGACTTTCTTCTTCCTCGTCTGTCACATCTTGTTTCGATTCACTTCCTCCATCACGTTCCTCAATTTGATCGATTTCGTGTTCACTTCCCTCATCGTCAAAATAATTTTTATCGTCGGTAGAAACAATTTCCCATACTTTTAACAAGCGTTTTTGTTTGTCTTCAAAGGATATCTATAAATAACAATTGGCAAAACTTAGCGACAATATGTAATAATAAGATGCTATATATTTACCTGATCTGCAAGGTATGCCAACAAGTAATAGCTACACCGTTAGTCGCTACCGAGTCTCGCAGCGAAAATAACTATTAAACTTACATAACTGTACCCAGGCAGGTAACAATGTACACTAACATGAGTTTGGTTGATAAGGAGAGGTACAGAAAGTGGCCATAGAAAAATAACAGTTATGTGTAAATCCCGAATGAATAATTCTGTCGTCGGTGTGTGACACCGATAGCGACTAAAGGAGGGTTAGTTGTTAATTATGCGCATCCACTTGATGGTGACCTCGCCGCGGTGGTGACAAGCTGCACTGTATGGTGCGCCACCTTATACATATACGTACTTACGCGAAAAATTACCAACAAATATTGACATTTATCAAAATTTTATAAAAACAGGACACAATAAATTTCAATATTAACTATGTTTTTTATAAATTACATTTTTAAGCTAAGATTATCATACGATTTCCTTGCCATAACCGTTTTTTCCTATAAAAAACTAATATTCCTGAATTTTCCTTAGCCAAGAAATCTGGCTATTTAGCTACTAATGCCTACACCAGTATTTAAATAATTTTTAAATAAAATAAGTTATTTTGGTTAATATTCTTACAGTGGTGAGGCCAAGTGGGTCCATCTAGGTGATCTCGATATTTCCACAGATGAAGACGACGCAGAACCCCAGGATTTTAAAATAATTAAAGCAATTGCACATCCAAATTATTCATCTTCTTCAACATATCATGATATTGCTTTACTTCAATTAGATCGAAATGTTGTTTTGACAGAATATGTAGGAATAGCCTGTTTACAAACAGTGAAGACGATATATGGTAGGTAAAGTTTTTTTAATTGCCCTTCCTTGAATATTTTTTTGTTTGAACTATTTTGTTTTTTGATGCTTATAAATATTTTCTGGTAGAGTTTTGTTTGAATAATTGTACTAATGTTTTCTAATTAACGTTTTTGGTTATTGGTTACTCTTTTTAAGAATTGTGTTCCCTTTTTTATTTTTATATGGCAATAATTTGTAGACTGTATTACTTAGTTTCAGTGAATGACATTATAAGTTGAGTTTATTAAAAAATATTAGAATCATCTTAGAAGCAATAGTCTTAAGAAGTAGTAACCGTTGGTACAACATTTACAAGGTTAATATATCTTTATCAAGCAGTAAACGCTTCCTTCTATTACATTTCCAACAAATTGTTTTCTACACTTTAAACTGCTCCTCTGCGTATATATTTGTTATATATTGTTAATTTCTTAGTTCTAAAATACATTCGAGAACGAAAGAGATTGTGTAATTATTTGTTCCACAATCCTCTTCGACTCTTTCGGAAAGCCTTTCCTGCCTTCTAAGTTAATTTATAAATAAACTTTTTGATTGCGGCAGATGAAAAAAAAAACAGAATCAGCTTAGGTCTATTTTTGATTCATATTGCAGCAATTCAAGCTGCAAATTTCTTTCAAAGTCTTATGGCTGAAAAAATTTGGTACAAAGCCTTGAGGTTAAGTATTAAATTTGTCTTTACGGCAACAAACAATAACCCACAGTTTTTCCAATGCTGAGTCCTTAAGAAGACCATGAAACCTACCAGATTTATCGACATCTCTTGTCAAAGTATCACTTAAACAACCCAGGTACTGCACAAGGTATTTTATATTCAGCTTATAAATTATTTTAAGCAAAAGTGCTTAAAAAATACAAGAGGTGTATTAGTATGTTTGAGTATTAAGTATCTACTGACTCAATAATATTTAAACATCATCCTCTATCTCTCTCCAATGGCGGTACAGCCAAAAATCGAGCCTTGTCCTTCTCCAAACTATACCTCTAATCTTGCCAGCCACGCGCCGATCTTCTCCAGGTTCTCTCTTCGGTACCACTTCATTCTACCTCCTATTTCGTGGCTATCCTTTTGATCTTGCACCCTTCATTTTACTATTTAGGGATCTTTTTGGTTATCTTTCGTCTCCATTCTCAATACATGACCAGGTCATCGAAGTCTCTTAAGTTAACAAATTATGAGATCAGTGCCTCTTTGACCAGTTTGTTGAGTTTATGGTTGTCCCTGGATCTCCATACTTTATTTTCGTTAATAGGTCCCAACATTTTCCTTAGGAGTTTTTGTTCGAAGACTTCCAGCTACCGTTTTGTGTCTTCTGTCATCACCCATGACTTTTATTCAAAACATGGATGGTTTTTGGAACGGAATACATGGGCGAGTGAAAAGTAAGCTTTGTTTGTCTTTACTATTCTTCTTAATATTTAACCTTATTTATAACTGAAATAATACCAAAATGTGGTCCATAAAAAAGTAGGTATACCTATAAAACCACTATTACTGATAAAATCACATAAAGAGTTCAAAATATTCCTAATAATTGTTTTACTCTAAAAAGCCTACATACAAATCAACATCATCTCACAAAACAGCATAAAATCTACAAACTTAGCAAAGAAGCCAAAAGCTAAAAAATTAATAAAATTCCCATTATAAACAGATATATTACAATGACGGCCACTCTCATTGTGACGTCAAGAGTAGGGGATCTGCTGATAGTGGCCTGCGCAATATCATACCTGTTATTCTTTGTATCATGACCTTGCCCATAATCTACTAGGACTGACCAACGATGCCTTTAAGTATATAGGGTATCGGTGTTCTAAGTTTACTTCTTAGTAATTTAGTTTACTATGTAAACTAAAAGTTAGTATTTAGTTTACTATGTACTATGTAAAATGGTGGTATGCCACCTTAGAGCATATCAATATATCAGTTTTTCTGTATGACTTTTCCGTCTATTAGTCGATATGTTCTAGTTATTTTATGGGTGACAAAAGCTTGCATTTTACTTTTTCTCATTAAATATATGACGTATATTCCTGCATTTAAAAGTAATTTATTAAGTTGCTACTCTTAGCAAAACAAGCTGTTACCTCGTTTGTTCTTGTTATATAAATTTAATTAAAATTTATTTATAGTGATACGTCGCTGTAAGAGGCTACAATTCGCTTAACGTTATTTTTAATTTTAGATTCATATGATAATATGACCGCTACTGGGTGGGGTAAAGTAGGATTTGCTGAAGAGCAAAGTAGCTTTTTGATTAAAGTTCGTTTAAATGAAGTGGATACAGAGACATGCAACAGATTATACAGCGACGTAAAAAAATCGGTCCTACCACAGGGAGTTGATGGTGATACGATGATCTGTGCTGGAGGAGAAATAGGAGTAGATACATGTGAAGTAAGTACTTTATATACCTCTAATAAACGACGTTTTATGATAATAAAATATTTTACGACAGGTTAAAACTCTTTAGAATAAAATTCGAATAGCTTCTTACTTCTGTAACTCTATAAATTTGTTGTAATGGGTACATGCCCTAATTTTACGTTAATTCTCTGATAATCTCAAATTTATTATCTTTAATTTATAAACCAATATGTATTTCTCGTTATTGATTTTTATTTTTTTAAATATTAAAAATAGGGCTTATATACCATTTTTCAAAGTAAAACACTTGCACATGAGGATTTATACAAAGTGACGTCATTTATATTTAAAATTTCTAGAACATCGACCTTAGAGTTCAAATTTTCCTAATACAGCTAATAATAGGAAACCCATACTGCTCGATCTTTCGTAGGCGTCAACATGGTGTAATAATCAGAAAAATGTAAACATCATTATATTGGAAATTTTAGAATTTGATTAAATAACCAAAAACATTTGTTATTATTAATATTATTAATTTTATGAAATACCTCTTTAAGTCTAATATTCCACAAAATCATAATTTTAATTACATATATTAGACAATTTTACGCAACTGATACGGAAATACTTCAAATTTTATTGGCAGTTGAGAATGTGGCAAAAGTGTATAAAGCGTTGCCGCTTTTTTAGAGTAGGAATTTTGTTTATGTTTTGATTTATTACACAATTTGATCGTAGTATAATATATATTAATAAATTGTATTTATAAATACATTTAAAATTTATATTAACAGCTTCAAAGCTAATTATTGTTGTGTATTGTGATTGTGATATGCCAAAACAAATAAATGGTCTGTAGAAAGCTGATAAGCTTTCATATAGAGTATTTTTATATGAAAAATGCTATATATCACAATTTTTTATTAGTCTCCTATAATTTATTGATAGAAAATGTACTTCCGTGAATATATGTTTCCTCTTCTTCTTTTTTTTTATGTAGATATGACTGTCTGTTTTTCAATTTGCCTCCATTTGGTAGCTTTTTTTAGTTTGTACTAAATTACTTATTTCATTCATGATCAGGTTAAAGAAAAAAAGACTTAGGGAATCTCCCTGTCTTATCCAATTATTAGCTTAGAATGGGCCAGTTAGTTCTTCCTCTACTTTAACTTTTATTGTGTTGTTTTCTAAAGGTATCCGTCTTGCACACAATAAGTGAATAACGTCATCTAATTTAACGTTGTTAAATGCCTTTTTATGCTCCACGAGACATAGATATTCCCGTTGGTTATATTTATTTGTTTTCACTTTGGATGGTAATTGTAGTGTTGTTTTTGTATGAATAAATTTATGTTTCCTTTTTAAAAAGAGGTATTATGATGCTTGATCTTAATTCTTGCGGTTTTCTTTTTTATTACTATATTTGGATTAGTAATTTTTTTGGAATTTTTCTAATGCTTTTTTTACTTCTTTCTCATTAATAATTAATTCTTCGTTGGTCGTCACTTCTACTGTTTGTGGATTATTATCGTCAGCATTAGCAAATAGGGATTGAAAGTAGTCTGACCATAGTTCTTTCATCTGTTTACTTTGTCCTCTGATTATTATTTATATTTCCTTTTTGTGTTCCATAAAAATCGTATTCTATCTATTCTGAGAAGCTCTGCCAGTGTTTTCCTTTTTTTTTGTCTGACTAAAATATTTATTTTATTTCTGATTGATTTATAGTGTTATATACCCTTGTGTTTGTTGCATTGTGTATTGTAAGAAGCGCTCTTCTTTGCTTTACATTTTGTTCTTACTTCCGTAAATATAATATATGAACCGGTAATTGTATTTATCTTAAAGTCTTTTATGCTTTTAGGGAGATTCAGGAGGACCTCTTCAAGTCAAAAATAACTACAAATATAGTAATGGAAAAGGTTTTAGAATAGTTGGAATCACCTCGTTTGGTAAAGCATGCGGTATCACTAGAAGTCCATCCATATACACGAGGGTTTCTTATTACGTTGACTGGATTGAGAGTATTGTGTGGCCCGACGAATACAAAATGGCACATCCGTAAAATTACACCAGAGTGACATGATTTTTCAAATTATTTTGATATAATATCTTGCATAAACAAATTATTGTCAATAAAATTTTACTTATTAATCATTTAAAAAAAAAAATTGATTGAATGACATTATATGTATACAGACAGTATTCCATCTTCCATGTTCTCCTCCCCCTCCAATTACTCCTCCTCTACGCTTTACTCCTGCATAACGAAATTAATTTCTTTGTTTCATTATGATGAAAGTCTTTCTCTTTCCGTTACTGCTTTTTAAAATTTACGATAATGTTTGCTTACCACAGCTTATTTTTTTTTCGGCATTACATATCCAAACCACTGTAGTTTTCTTTCTTGAATTTTCTAATTTACTTACTTACTTTGAATTTCTTATTCTCTGTATTATTAGAACCTGTCATAATATTCTATGAAAGTACATTATAAGAACTTAAATTCTTTATATTCTTCTATTTAACAATGTCCATTATTCTGAATCATAAACTTATCACTTAGATAATAGATAAGGTCATTGATATACCTTAATACTGAATCTATTGATTTTCTTTTGGATCTATTCAATACCATATATAGAACAGGTATAATACCTAAAGAATGGCTCCAATCAACATTTATACTGCTTCCCAAAAAAGCCAATGCAAAGGAGTGCAATGAACATCGCACCGTAGCCTTAATGAGTCATGTCTTGAAATTGTTTTTAAAAGTAATTCACAATAGAATACATAAGAAATTAGATGAAGGCATAATAATACACAAATGGGATTGTCATATACTTGACCCTTGACTTTTAGGAGTTCCATGACATGACACTTGTCGGTTGACGGATGTCAGGGGACATTACACTTTACACTTGACAGATAGGGATATAGGATATAAGATACCTACATAAGTTACCACGCACATGTTTAATTAGTAAGTGAAATAACGAATATAAAATACATTCTACACCATTTTAATTACATTACACTATATACACAACAGTTTGGCGACGAGGACGGTCGAATCTACAAGGAAATAGGCCAGTATACATACATAACCTAAATGCAGCGTGGTGAACCAGTGAAAATTTACAAATCTACATCCATAAGTGAAATCCTGTCTGATTTACAACTACACATACATTAAAAGGATGACTGAGACTACAATTCTTTCAGTTCATACCGTATTTAGCATTGAAACTTACGATACATCCAAGAATTTTGACCGGTGGTTACAACGTCTTCAGAGTGCATTCAATGTTTTTGCAGTACCAGAAGACAAGAAAGCCGCATACCTTCTACATTACATGGGTCCAGATGCATATGATATTCTTTGTGACAAGATTTCACCGGAAAAACCAGACGAGAAATCATATGATGAACTGGTAAATACAATGAAACTACATTACAACCCTGAACCGTTGGAAATAGTGGAAAATTTCAGATTTTCACAAAGAAAACAACATGAAGGGGAAAGTGCCAATGAATACATTACAGCTTTACGAAGATTAGCCACAACTTGCAAATTTGGGGATTATTTAAACAAAGCCCTGAGAAACCAATTCGTATTTGGTCTTCGAAACCAAAATATTCAAAGCAGACTCCTAGAATACAAGGACCTTACGATAGAGAGAGCATTAGAAGTTGCCGTCAGCATGGAGACATCAACCCGAGATGCAGCTCGATTACAGAAGTCAAATACAAGTGCAAATATAAATAAAGTTTCTAGTGTCAAGAATAAACAAGGACACATACAACCTACAAATGGAAAAGAAATGATATTCATAACCAAGCTAAAAATATATTTTGTTTTAGATGCGGATCTTCACAACATATTGCAAACAAATGTAATAAAACACATTTAGTCTGTAGCAAATGTAAACGAGGAGGTCATCTGAGCAAAGTATGCATGAAAAGTAAAAGTTCAAATCAGGTAGATCAAGTGGAAGAAATTTTCAACATTCATTCAGATCATTCATACTACAGGGAAAAATTTACAATTTCAGTTGAAGTCAACAAGGTAAGCCTATCTTTTGAAATAGATTCAGGTGCAGCTGTTACATTATTAAATTTGAATGATTTTAAAACATATTTTCCTAATTTAAAATTACAAAATACTAATTTAAAATTAGTTACATATTGCAAACAGGCATTAGATGTGGTGGGTGTTACAGAGGTGAATGTCAAGTACAAGGAGATACAAAATTTTTATATATGTACATAGTAAATTCAGATAGACCACCATTAATGGGTAGGGAATGGATACGCCAGTTAGATATAATCTTTAATAACATTTCAGAAGTATCTGAATTTACAAATACAAAACTTAACAATGTACTTACAAAATATTCGGTAGTTTTCCATGAAAGCATGGGCAAAAATTCAAGGCTTACAAGCCACATTAAAAGTTAAACCATCCACTTCACCTTTCTTTATTAAAGCAAGGAAGATACCATATGCGTTATTACCAAAAGTGGAACAAGAACTTACGAAGTTAGAAAAAGAAGGTATTTTAGAAAAAGTTAACAGTTCTGAATATGCTACACCTATAGTACCAGTTATGAAAAGTAATGGTCAAGTACGGATTTGTGGAGATTTTAAAAGTACACTTAACAAGCATTTAGTGGTAGACGAATACCCATTGCCTACAATTGAAGCTCTATTTTCTACCATGGCTGGTGGAGATAAGTTTACAAAGCTTGACTTACAACAAGCATACCTACAAATGGAAGTACGCCCAGAAGATAGGAAATACTTAACACTTAGTACACCCAGGGGATTGTATAGAAGTACAAGATTAATGTATGGTATTTCAGTGCACTGCAATATGGCAGAGGGAAATTGAAAACATTTTAAAGATATCCCAGGAGTGACAGTTTTCCTAGATGACATAAAAATTACAGCACCCGATGATGAGTTACATTATCAAAGACTAGAATTAGTTCTTAGCAGACTTGCAAAATACAATATTAGAGTCAATCATGAAAAATGTCAATTTTTAGCAAATCAGATTGAATACTGTGGATATAAAATTGACAAAAATGGTATACATAAAACCAAAGAAAAGATGGAAGCTATACAGAAGCAAAACACCTACAAACAAGACAGAAGTTAGAGCATTAGTAGGACTCATAAATTACTACGGACGGTTCTTACAAAATTTGAGCCATACTTTACATCCAATTTACAATCTTCTTAAAGATGGAGTATCTTTCAAATGGGACAGAAAATGTGAAGAAGCGTTTACAGCAGTAAAAAGAGAAATGATCTCTGATAAAATTTTAGCACATTTTGACCCAAGTTTACTTTATACTTGCAACTGATGCGAGCCCATATGCAGTTGGAGCAGTATTTATCTCACATATATCCGGATGGATCTGAGAGACCAATTCAATTTGCTTCACAAACACTTACAAAAGTACAACAAAAATTATGCTCAAATAGATAAAAGAAGCATATGCCATAATTTTTGGTATTAAAAATTTTACTATTATCTATTTGGTAGAGAGTTTACACTCTATGTGGATAATCAACCTTTAATTCAAATATTCTCTCCATCTAAAATTTACCTACACTAACTACAACCAGAATGCAACATTATGCACTGTTTCTTCAAAGTTTTAATTACACAATTAAGTATAAAAATACTAAAGTCATGCAAATGCTGATGCAATGTCAGATTACTCTTGATAATACTTCTGAATTTGATTATGACGTGGGAGATCAGTTTGAAATCAGTCAAATAGAAACTTTACCTGTTACTTTTATGGAATTAAGTTTTGAAACTACAAGAGACCCCACACTACAAAATCTTTACAATGCTCTAGGAACTGGAAAACTGATTGATGCTAGGGATAGATTTATTGTCCCACAGATAGAATTTTCTTTACAAGGAAATTGTATTTTTCGGCAACAAATGGCAGTTATTCCAACTACCTACGTTAAAAAAAGTTTTAAATGAATTACATACTGCTCATTTTGGCATAGTCAAGATGAAGATGCTTGCAAGAGGATATGCTGGTGGCCAGGGAATTTCTAAAGATATAGAAGATGTATGCAAAAATTGTACAGACTGCAACAAAATCAGGAATAATCCGAGAAAACAGTTAGTACACCCATGGGAGACACCTAGAACCTTTTGAAAGAGTGCACATAGATTTTGCAGGACCTTTCATGAATTCATACTACTTTATTCTAGTGGATGCCTATACTAGATGGCCAGAAATACATATAGTGAAAGATTGACAAGCAAAACTACCATAAACTTGCTAAGGAAAATTTTTTGTACATTTGGAATTCCAAATTGTTTAGTTTCAGATAATGCACAAACATTTACTAGCTATGAATTTAAACATTTTATACAGCAAAATGGAATCTTTCACAAATTCAGGTGCACCCACCATCCAGCTACAAATGGAATGGCAGAGTAGGGTACGTACAAACATTAAAACAAGCGCTACGTGCACAAAAAGGAGATAATAATGAAAGGGAGCTACAGCTTAACAAATTCTTACTAAATTACAGAAGAACACCACATAGTACAACTGGTGTCAGTCCTTCAAATTAATGTTTGGAAGAGAGATCGAACTCGATTAGATTTATTGAAACCATTTTACAAAACACCTGTACAAAATCAAAACCATCCCAGGTAAGAAACTTAGAGGTGGGGGAAGAGTAGAGACTCGTGATTACATACATGCTGATAATGGGATTTGGTAGAGTCAACGTAAACTAGGGAAATTGCACTACCTTATACAGTTAGATGATACAAGAATATGGAAAAGACATATAGATCAAATCAGATCTATAGGGGAAAATACACCTATGTACATTAATATACAACCAACAATTTTGACCTGGGTAATAATCCAATTGTTACAAATACTTTTGCGCCAAATGAAGCAGCACCCTGTTCTAGTTCAGTTCAAGATAAAGATGTACATGTTCAAATAATACTCCAACTTGCTTACCACAAATACTAGACACTACAAATACTGCAGCTAGCTCAGATGACGCCCCGTACTACGAAGGTCCCAACGGGTGATAAAAAAACCTGTTAGGCTGGACTTGTAAGTATTATGTTATTGTTTTTATTTTTCTAACCTTACAAGTTTTGTATGTAATTCCTTACGAGGAGGAGAGTGTCATATACTTGACCCTTGACTTTTAGGAGTTCCATGAC